TATCAGTTACTATTCGCCTGAGAAAGCTACTGATACAACGGGGTCCTTATGCAGGAACGGGAGAAGAGGAGAAAACTCTCTGAAGACCATGTGGGACCTCACAATATTGATTCAATTTATCCACGAAGTACTTAAATACTACTGTGATTAAAACTATAGAAGATCTTAACTTTATGAAGAGGTGACTAGAAACTATATTTAGTATTGACAGGATTGTTATTAGTAAATGTTAGTAAACATGGACACAAACCAGCAAAAACATTTCCATCAATAATAGTAAAAAAATTAAAAGGTAGGTAAAGTATGAAAAATGCTGTTTGAGAACTTATACAAATAAAATATCCTTAAATCAATCTCTAATATTCTGACATGTGAGGGTTACAATGTGTGTTTTAATGGTTGTAAAACTTTAATTTTTTCAATCTCAAGATATATTGCTTCTCTCTCCCCCCAGTTACCCTCAACTGTGAAAGAGAAAATTTTGGGAAAAATGCTTCAAAATAAACAGCTGACAAAGAGCGTCCAGACACATTGAGTTCTGTCGACAAAGCAAGCTGCTTTGTCGACAGAACTCCGTAGTCTGGACGCAGTGTTACAGGCAATAACACCTTCTGTCGACAGAAGGTGTTATTGCCTGTAACACTGCGTCCAGACTACGGAGTTCTGTCGACAAAGCAGCTTGCTTTGTCGACAGAACTCAATGTGTCTGGACGCTCTTTGTCAACGGAAGTTTTGTCGACAGTATCTGTCGACAAAACTTCCGTCGACAAAACGCGGTAGTCTAGACGTACTCTTATCTGTCAAAATTCTATAAACAAAATATTGAGTTTGACAATCTTAGCTATGTTGCATTACACAGGGCAACAAAACAAAGAATGTGGGGCAATCTGAGTTTGTATTCCATGACTTTTTGGGAGCTTTTGCAACTTTGATCCACTTTAATTTAAAATGGGGATGCTCCAGGTGATAAGATAACTGATTCTCTTGTTTCAGACCATGAATAAGAGTGTTCAGTTTTCTAATGACATATAGTTCTTTTAGAATACAATTTGCATATAAATCCAGGTTTTTTATGTTGTAGTTAAAAATACTTGAGGAGCTCTCGCTGATTTATATTTAAATTTCCACCCACAGAATGTGATGAAATTCTTCATAAGGTGATTTTCTTCTGAGGGTTCTAATATGTAGCAAATGTATTGTAATGACCGCCTCCCTTCCTCCACTAGCAGGGCTGAAGGCAAGTGTGGTTTGAGAGACAGCGTGGGGCAATTAAAACAAAGTGGTGTTCTGGGGGAGCTGGAACTATCTGTTGGCACTCTGGGAAAGTAAATGCTGTTGTGGGGGTTTGACGGTACTAAAGTTTTGTTGAAATTTTAAGACATGGTCTTTCCTCTTTCCTTCAGATACTATGATGCTGCAATATTATTCTTTCCATTTGTCTGATAAGTAATTGCATATTTTATCATTTTCTTTAAAACTATAAATATTTAAAATAATTTGGAGACAAAGGCAGAGTATTTATAATTTGCCTAATTTTTCTCCAGATTTTTTGACATCTGAATAGAAAGCCTCTATAATTTTAGAGTAGTGCTGAAAATCTGTTATGGATTATGTGACAAGATGTCTTCTTATTGCTCATGAAATGCCATGGATTCCTCTGATTGTAGGCAGGACCGAGATCAAATAAAGTGAAAGATGGAAATTTATTAAAGAAAGAGATAGGGATAACTGGCAGGTGATGTTCAGATTTCCTCTCATGGCTGTGGTTTGACAACCATTTTAATTTGAATATATACTTAGATCAGAGATATGTCCAGCCATGAGGGAAAAGCATGGGTCATTTTTTCAGTAAACACACCAATAACAATACTTTACTGTACCATAGTAGGCTTTGCAATGATTTGAACAGAAATGCTTTTGAAGCTTACTGTAGAAAAAACAGATGATTCAAACATAATGAGATGCTGAGCCTTTCACCTACAGATCATGGGTTAAAACTATGGACTACAATTGCAATGACTAATAGTCTTTCTTGTCCAATAGCAGCTTAATGTCCCATGTAAGAGCACTTGGTTGATCTCATTTCACAGCAGACAGGTTTACAAGTCCAAAATAGAAGTTAATAGCACATAGGTGACCATTTCAGCGGGAAAGTCACAAATTAGATTACCAGAGCAAAGAACTGGAAGAGTAGTGTCAAAACTGCCCCCTTAGGCCATGGCTACACTACAGAGAAGAGCAAGCTGCCACAATCAATCTTCCAGGGTTTGAATTAGCGGGTCTAGCGAAGACATGCTAATTCAATCTGAGAGGGCACTCCTGTCAATGCAGGTAGTCCTGCTCTTACAAGGAGTAAGAGAAGTTGAAGGGAGAGGGTGCTCCTGTCGACCTCCTGCTGTGTAGATGGCACCAAAATTTGATTTAAAATACTTTGACTCAGACTATGTAATTAACGTAGCTGGAGTTGTGTATCTTATTTCGAACCTACCCCCATGTAGACCTAGCCTCAGTCTTACAAGGAGTGTGAGCAGGATAGGGATGTTGCCCATGCTGCATCATTCTTGTGAATAGACAGAATTTCATTCTTCAGTGGTGTCAAATTTGGAATCCTCTGTGAATACTAAATTAAATTTAGTTTACTGGAGGAAAGAGAAACAGTTTTGCCAAGATACACACACAATGCAACCACTATGAAGGAATTAGATAACTTACACTGCTTCACACCAGACAGCTGAAAAATAACATAAGAGGTCTTTGCCCCTTTAGTCTCACCTCTTTCATTCCCTGCAAACTGAATGACTAACTATACCCCTCATGTCATGCTCCCACTCATTTCAGTGCCTTCTCCCTCTGTCATCACTTATCCCTCTCCTCATTCAAATGCAATTCTTTCAAAATACCTAAAACTCTAGTCTTAGAAAAAAAAACTTAAATAAGATTCCTACAAATACAAGTGAACAAATCCAAACGAGAGCTATGGCATAATGTTGAGGGATTCTGCCATCTTGCCTGCAAGCACTCCGAGTAACTAGTTCCCTATCCCAAATTCTTTCCCCCTCTCCCAGCTAGGGTTGCTAGATGTCCAGTATTGAACCGGACAGTCCAGTATTTTCGCCTCCTGTCCGGTAAAAAAATTCAGAAAATACCAGACACCTAAAAGGTCCGGTACTTTCAGATGTTTTTCCCAGCCAGCAGGCGAAAATCCAAGGCTGTCCAGCTCAAAACAGAGGCAGCCTGGCAACCTTAGTGCTTACTGGGTTCCGCAGGGGAGCTCTCCGGCCCCGTGCAGGGAGGCAAGATGGTAGGTGGCCGTCGGCAACTTGTTAGGGCCAAAAAGCCTCACCACGCGGTTTAAAGGGATCACTCTGGTTTTTTTGCTGAACAACTCTCAGGGTCCTTTTTTTTTTCCTGGCATGTTCCCCCCTCCCCCTGCACTGGCTGCAGGACATGGGGGAGGGGAGACACTGGTGGCTGGGGCCAGCCCCAGGACCCTCGCCCTTCCCCACTGATAGCCTACAGGCCACAGGGGACCTCTGGGAGGTCTGGATTGGCCCCTAGAACCTCTCCCCACCTGGTGCAGAGAGCCTGCAACCCTGAGGAGGTCACTGTGAGCTGGGGCCCACCCTCAGATCCTCACCCCCTGCCCAGGAAGCTGCAGGACATGGGGGATTAGGGAGTGCTGGAAGCCGGAACTGGCCCCCCGAGTCTCACCCACCCCCAGTCCAACTACAGGCCGGGGCTAGCCTATGTAGCCCCAGCCTCCCAGGAGGAGCCGCTAACAAGGGACTGCAGCCTTGGTCCTGCAGAAGGAGATGCTGGCTAGAAAGTGCAGCCCTGGGCCCTTAGGATGAGCTGCTGCCACAGCAGCACCACCCTCGCTACCCTAGGCAACCCCAGTAAGCTCCCCGCCCAGCCTCTCAGCCCCCTGCCCTGGGCCCCATGCCCTCACTTCCAGAGTTGTTGACTCGAGTCCCACGACTTGAACTCAAGTCCGACTTAAGTCACCTAGGTGACTCGACTTGACACTTGACTCAGGTTCATTGTTTGTGACTTGAGACTCGACTTGAGACTTGCTAATTTTGTTAAATTGACTTGGTGAAAAAATTGTCCGAAAAATTGTCCGAAAATGACAACATTGATGGCTTGTACAAAAGTGACTTGACATTTTTAAAATTAAGACTTGAGACTCGACTCAGAAGTGACTTTAGGGACTTGAGACTCGACTTGAGACGAACTGTAGTGACTTGAGACTCGACTTGGACTTAACAATGACAACTTGAAGACAACACTGCTCACTTCTGTCTGAGGTCCCCCCCAAATCCAACCCATTCCCTGAGCCACACTCTCCCATCCCCCTGTCCTATACAATCATGTAAATAAAGCATGGGCATGTTCCTTTTAATTTACCTCCCCCCCCCCCAAAAAAAACATTACTGCTATTAAAGACCCAGGCGATGCCGGGTACATCTGCTGGTCCTCTATATTCTAATGGCAGAAAAATAAAGGTTGACTTACCCTGTTCATTTGGCAGAATGCCATTCATTTCAGAATTCTAATTTTATAGGCACGGCGAGACATGTTACATTAAAGCCTTTCAAACAGACGTGGAGGTATTAATATCATAGAGGCTAAGGAGGTAGGGATATAAGTGTTGCTGAAAGTATTTTTACTCCAATTTTTGCATCCCTTCTCTTTTGCAAAATAACAGATCATATTAGGCAGAACAATCTGGGACCTTACATAGTTTTAGTTGTAATATTTACATTATTGGATTTTTTCCTTAATAATGTAAACAGATGTATCATAAAACAATAATCTTCACTTATTTTTAGTTCACTCACTCCAATCATTTAGCATCGTAATGACAGGAGTACTATTTAACCATTCTATGTGTGCGAGCTATGTTATGCCCTTTTGTCACAGAGAGTCAAAGAGCAGCATAAACTAATTTATAAACAGATAAACTTTAATTCCATATTTACAAAAGCTTCAAAACTTACGCAATCTTGGCACACACTGTGCACTTCCAGTTCCCATCATGTCCCAAAACTCGACATTTGTTGCAAACTCTGAGTTTACATTCATAGCACTGGTCCCCCCTGTCAAAGATAAAGCCCAGGTTTTTTTGACAGCGAACACAGACCCTGCCACGGTCCTGATGGCAATGGCGGTTTCCACCTTTCCGTCTCACTTCCAACAACTCATTCTTCAATTTCCTGGAAATAAAAGAAAAAAAGAAGGGCACTTCAAATCTGAAATACCAGTGAGTTCATAGCTAAGAGGCTAACAAACTAAGGGAGTGCAGGCAGATGTATTCGGCTACAAGAGGGCACTTGCGGGAGGTGAGTGCCACCCCGTTACACCATTGTAAAAGGTTTCTGGGGTTGGCTGCCTTACTTCTTGCACTGCAATATGAAGCTTTTCCACATCGCTCCAGTATTAATTCAGTTGGCTCCATGGCAGTACACAGCAGAAGGAGCCAGGCTGTACCCAGAGGCTTACAGCACCTGTTTCCTTCCCACCTCTGTGGCTCTCAAGAAAGTGATAATAGCTAGAGTTGCCTAGGGAAGATGGTGAGAGTTTTCATTGCGATTGTTTGGACTGAAGACCATAGTGCATCCGATCCCACCCCTATTGTGCTTTTCTGCTTCTTCACAGTTTCCCAGACATGTTGGTGGTTTGGGTGGCAGGGATCAGCATTGAGGCCTGGCGCCTGGCTAACAGTGAACAGACAGGAATAGAAGGGGGTTGAAGGGAAGGGAAATGTGTTTGTGCACTCTAACCACCACACGCCCACCCCCGGTGTTGCCTCTGTTCAGGCTTGAATTTTCGGAGGGTCAATGGTGGCCTCCACACAATATTCATGTTACAAAGGGCAGGGGGGAATGCCACCCATGCTACCACCATGAGTTGCTCACCGAATGCCACAGATGGCCCAGATGGCACCCACGCCCCCATAGCTGGTACAAGAAGCCAGTTCAATGAATACAGTAAACTTCTGATAATCCGGTACCTTTAGGACCCGGGGGATGCTGGATTATCAGATTTGCCGGACTATCAGAAGGGGGGGCTATGAGGGGTCTAATAGGTTTAAGCAATACAAGTCCAGGTCCCAATAATAAAATAATCGTTATTACTTCATACCATGGTTGAAAGGTGTGAAGGAAAAATACAGGGAAACTGAGGAAATGAAAAAGGGATTTGTTGAGACAGAAACCCAAAGGCACAGCAAGGTTTACAGTATGGGAAGACCCAAAACTGAGAAGCAGGACACATTACTGTGGATTATTTCATGGGTTTTCAAAACCTCCCTGAGCTGCAGTGGTCCATGCTGTGCCCAGGTATCTGGTTACAGGAGGCCCCTGACTTGCGACCGCCCAAGTTCCGACCCCCCCACACTTACAACCATTTTTGTACATGTGAAAGGGGCCGAACCCCCCTGACTTACGTCCTCGGCCTGCATTTATGACGGCAAACGGCGCCTATCGTAAATGAGTGTTCAAGTTACAACGCTCCCGACTTGCAACGCTTCCCCAGGGACCAATCGCGTGGCAAGTCAGAGGCCTCCTGTACTCAAAATCTGCAAACAGCTAATCTGCATTCACACCTCACATGTTCTAAGGCTAAGCTGTTTGCTTGGGTATTTACTTGAGGTGAGAGTTGGAGAAACTGGATCTCTTGTGGACTGGGGACATTTTAGGGTAGGTTTGGGAAGGGGGTGTTGCTGCTACTGAAATCAGGGTTGGATTTGTGTCCTTATTGACATTGGCCCGATTTTCATTATTTCTTTAACTGGAATACTTAGAATGTTTGTGTACATGTTTAGCGAAATAGAGTACATTTTGATGTGCCCTTCGTCTTTTCTTTTATGGGAATTTATTGTTAATGTATTTGCTAATAGAGTGAACATGTTTAAGAGTCTGATAAGCCTGAACCAGAATTCTAGCTCTAAAACATTTCCTCTTTTGAGGAAAGTCTGATCTAATTCAGAATTTCCTATTACAGACTCTTTTCTAATAAATATAATAAAAGTAATTTTTATTCCAGAATAAAAGGTCCACATGGGGAACTACTGCCAAATAATTATAAAGGAACAGCTTATTTCAGCATTGCTATGACATCAATTTCCCATTATAGACAAGACCTAAAAGGAAGAGAGACTCTGTAACAGGGCTACTCAACTTTGGAAGCCCTGGGGGGCTTGCCGAGGGCCACAGCTTAAGTGTGGTTGCATACACATGCAAATATATGCATAGCGTCTTTCACATAGACAGGTATGATTACAAAGATTAAGCAAGACTACACAACACGCAGGCCCCATGTAAGTCAGTTCTGCTGATATCAATAAAATGCAGTATTTACCCGATTTCCACCCATATAACAGCACTTCTAATGAGCAACAACAGTCCAGGAATTTAACTACTAAAACACATATCAACAGAAGACCATCATATTGACTCCTTTTTTGCTTTGGCTCTCACTGGCAGGCCGTGTGTTGAGCCCCGCATAAATCCAAACTGCACCATGGGCCGCAAACAGGCCACGGGCCACATGTTGAATAGCTTTGCTCTATAAAATAAACAACAGTGAATTCACTTAATTCCCTAGTTAAGAATTATTCCTCGTCTTAAAGCTATAATCTTTTCTTGTTGGAGAAAGGGTTTCTTTCTGAATAAGAATATATTTAAATTGCTAACAAAGGCATGCTTATGAACTCAAATTATGTCCTACTATAAAAGGTAGTTATAAACTAGAGGATGAAAGGAATCTATACCAATGATGCCTAGAGCATGCTGGTTCCACTGCTGTTAAAGCCTTTGGAAGCCTTTCTAGAATTAAATGCATTGAAATTACTACTGAAGCAAAACTTTTTAAAATTTGAAAATAAATTGAAAGAGCAGCTGATGCTTGCCATACTGATCACACCATAATTCAGGGGCACATCTCTTCCAGGAGTCTCATCCTTCAAAGGCCATGTTCCTTGTATGCCACATGACACTGAAGTCTACAGCAGTGAGAGTCAGACATAGAAAACACTCCAATTATGGGAAAGGAATTCCAGCACAGTCATCTCTAGCAAACAATACCTTTTTTTCTCTATGAGATACTTTCAATTACAGCTAGCACTGGTCATTAACAAGGTAGAATGAGATTTTTATGGTTCCCCTTATATAGCTTTGTGTTGATTTTTATATTTTAGTTTTCTGGTAGCTTCAATATCATTTTAAATGGTTGTACGGTATTCCCAAGTGTCTCAGTATGTATTTGTTCTATATGTACAATTATTATCTGTAAAATGCACTGCCAGTGAAGTGTCTTCCACTTGCTATATGTGAAGTACTGTTACTGGTGTTTTAGCTTTGTAAATAGATTTACTGATGAATCTGCTAATTATTTCTTACCCCTATAAACAAAGTTCACTTACAGATTGTGTCAGGAAGGTCCAAACCTGACATTTGCAGACTCTCTCAAGAAGGATTAGCCAAATAACTAAATATTCTGATCAGGTGACAGTCCTCCCCTTCCCCTTCTTCCCCCCTCCCCCCAGCAACCCTCTAAACGAACAAATTTTGTTTCCAGTCAATCCAAACCAAACACATTTGAATTTTCAGTAAACTGAAACATCAAAACATTTATGTCAAGCAAAACATTTTGGTTAACTCAAAAGAAAATGTTTAGTTTTGATGTCAAGGTTTCTAAAAACATTTTAATTTGTTTTTAATTAAAATTAGGGGTTAATACATAATAATAAAATAGGTCAACACACAAATTCATAATTTGTTTCAGTTGACATGACTGCATATTTTGTTGTAGAAAGGCTTTTCTGACAAATTTCAGCCAGCGCTAATCTCAAATCTTACTTACAAAGTACAGCAGAAAATACATAAAACCCTATTATTTCCGCTAATTTTTGACACAATGAAAGCTTTTTTCTCCTGTCCAGCAAAAAAGAGACTAGTCAGTAGGTGCATTGATGACTGTGTTGGACCTGAACAGAAGGATTTCCTGGTCCTGCAGAGGGATCTGTAGGAAAGCATCTATCAGAGTGACTATGGAAAGAGACTACTTATAGTACGTTCAGATTCAGTGGTGTCTCACTGTGAAAGGGAGTAACCTCTCTGATTTTGAACTCTTGTGCATCATTGCTCTGATTTCTAAGATACAAAGTACAGGTTGGACATCCTTGGTCTGGCACTCTCTTGGGGTATGTCTACACTACAAAGTTAATTCGAACTAGTTTTTAGGTCTAGATGCACTAGTTCGAATTAGCAAAATGCTAATTCGAACTAGTTTTTAGGTCTAGATGCACTAGTTCGAATTAGCAAAATGCTAATTCGAACTAGTGGGAGGCTAGCCCTGCCCAGCTTGCCCTGGTGGCCACTCTGGTCACCACCAGGGAAACTCGTCTGCTCCCCTTCCGGCCCTGGAGCCCTTAAAAGGGCACGGCCTGGCTACGGTGCCCGTGCCAGGTGCAAGCCTGCCAGCACCCAGCCAGCAGCCCCTGCCCCTGGCACGGCACAAGCCAGCCACCTGCTGCCACCCAGCCCTCCGCCTCTTTCCGGGACCAGGCTGGCAGCTCCCAGGAGTCTGCCCGGGGCCGCAAGAGGTGGGCGCCCGCCTGGTCTAGTGCGGAGATCGTGGACCTCATCCAGGTTTGGGGGAAGCCTCCAACGTCCACGACCTCCGCACTAGGCACAGGAAAGTGGCCGTCTAGGGCAGGATAGCTGCCAGCCTAGCCCAGTAGACGGTCTGCCAACAGCAGCCAACACTAGGTACCCTGGAGGGGATGGACCGAGGACAATGACCAAGCCATTTGTCTCGTGCAATCCATCTCCAGCCTTCCACAAACAGAGGCCAGGGACACCATTTCTACCCCCTGGCTAATACCCCTCCATGGACCCAACCTCCATGACTTTATCTAACTTCTCTTTAAACTCTGTTATAGTTCTAGCCTTCACAGCCTCCTGCAGCAAGGAGTTCCACAGGTTGACTATTTGCTTTGTGAAGAAAAACTTTCTGTTATTAGTTTGAAGCCTGCTACCCATTCATTTCATTTGGTGTCCTCTAGTCCTTCTATTATGGGAACTAATGAAGAACTTTTCTTTATGCACCCTCTCCATACCACTCATGCTTTTATAGACCTCTATCATATCCCCCCTCAGTCTCCTCTTTTCTAAGCTGAAAAGTCCCAGTCTCTTTAGCCTCTCTTCATATG